TATGATAATTCTTTGAATAGTCAAGTTAATTATGGCTCTGACTCTCTCTTTCATTTTCTCTCTCTATATATTTCATATTTTTTTACTTGCAAAAATCTTTTTTTTTTTTTTTTGTGGTGTGAGACATTTTTATGGAATGGCAGACAGAAAACCCTATTACCTAATACTATATCTTATATCAGCATGTCACTTAATGACAGTCATTGTAAACAGCAAAAAAGAATATGACTGTGGTCTACTCAAATTCTTTAATTAGCCAACAGAGTGTCTTTGAGGTGCTTTCTGCCTGGCAATCATTTTGCACATATGTGGGAAGCAGAGATCTGAGAGCATAGCATTTAAAGTAAATCATTCAAGTTTAATGCACTATTGATCTTCATAAGCACTTGCTAGTTCGTCATGTGAGAATGCATAATACCTCTGTAGTTTTGAAAACAGTCGGGAAAATACTATTAATAATAACAATAATCACAATGATTTTGCTCAAAATCAAGAGAACGTCAGCTTTTACACGGTTTATATTTATCATGTACATCAACACTTTCTACATTGAAAACTGGTAAAACCTTAAGAAGCTTCTTTCAAACGCTAAAACAGAGACATGGCAGAAACAGGCATGGTGGTTACCAGGTTGGGAAGATTAAGTAAAGCACAGGCCGCAATTGCAAAACATGAAAGCTTGTGGAGTCTTGTTATCAATGCAAGAAAAAGGAAATGTCAAATCAAAAATCATTTTCAGGATAAATAAACAGCAGGCCAGTATCAGAGATTATAAGATTATATGTCTAAAGTAACATCACCTAGAGACTTTCAGAAGAGCCTGTTAGAAACCATCCTTTAAATATGGTTAAAAACTCAAGCAATGTCAAGTTAAAAAATGTCAGCCTACACTGGCAGTTACCTTACACCCCTCTAAAGTGCTTTGAAACTGAGCACTGTGCATAGTGCATACAAAAAGTAAGTTTCAGCTAGTTTCAGCTAGTTCAGTTAGTTTAACACTCAAGAACTAAACATGCCATTTCTCTCTCAGAAGCTAAAAAAAGTGATAATAAAGATGGTTTTGAAGAACCCGAATGGTGTCGACTAATGAATGGCTCCTTAACATCTTTTACTTAGAAACTCAGGCACAGTGCACACACGCACTTTAGCTGGAACATATTAGCAGACCAGCTCTTATGGAAGATATCATTAGAATAATTCAGAAAGATGATTTCTGGGTGCCTTGAGGAGATCTAATATTCAAAATGAAAAAGTGCTGATAGAGAAAATGCTTCTTCAGACATTAATGAATGTTTAAAACTGTATTATGAGCATGAAGAATCTGCTGACAGCTTTTCAGAGGGAATTGTTGGGAATTTATGACTTTACGCCTCTATGGTTCTGTCATCATTCACTCTCATAACATACAGAAGCTGTGTGACTTTAATACTTCTGCAGAACACAAAAGATATCATAAAAAATGTTGGTAACCGTTTTGTTGACCATCGACTTCCATTGCATGGTAAAACATATGGAGACATCATCTTCTTGTATGGTCCACAGTAAAAAGAATGCCTTACAATTTTGGAAGGAAATGAGGGTGAGCAAAAAATGACACAATTTTCAAGTTCAGACACCTCACTAACCCCAAAACAAGACAGAAGTATACTTGACATTGACACTCTATTCCATGCAGTCATATCTACTGCCAGTCAGATCAAGTTCTTTCCCATTAAACTTTTATCCATACTGTCCCCTCTCAAATGATGACGCCACATCAGAAATAATTCACATGGCACATCTTACGTATGCATCGCTAAAACTTTGATAAGGGCTGCTTCCCAAGTTCTAAAATTATTTATGCTGATATCAAATGCAAATGATCAGATTTCCTTGCATTTTCAGGCCTCGTTTCTATGGATGTCACTCACTAACCGACATCCAGATGAGGCTACTACTTAATCACTTACAAACTGACAAGAGATCTCATAAGATCATTACACATGAAAACCTACTTTACATATGAAAAGACGAGGCCTCATGCACTACAAAAACATATGAATCAACTGACACATGTGGTAGTGGTGGGGGGGGGGCTATATGAATATTAATACTCATACACAAAAGCCTTTAGTGGACCGGTAAACAAACCGCCTCTTTGGTTAAGAGAGACGTTCAGAAGCTGCCTCAGGCACACATAGACACACACAATAGCGCCAGACTTCCTTCATCATATGAGTAATTACAATCTACTGTGAAGTGTCAGACCTCTGAGAGTGAGTCATACTATAAGGACCCCCTTGAGGTTTTCTCTTGAAATTGACATAGTCTGAACCTATAGAAATCCTGATCAAGAACCCAAGAAGCAAGCATCATTAATAAACAATTGAGATGCATTTTCCAAGAGACATCCACATCAACATTGCGGTGAGGGGTGTTTGGGTAGGAATAAGTGGACAGACGGTGCTTGACTAGAATGAGTAAGCTTGGGTAAATATATCTCCAAATCCCCCTGAGGATAGACAAGCTAAACATACTAAACCAGACCTAATTTATTCTCACTTTAAATGAAAGACAATCGGGTCTCAAGCAGTGTTGGGGAAAGTTACTTTTAAAAGTAATGCATTACAATATTGCGTTACTCCATAAAAAAAGTAACTAATTACTTTAATTATTTACTTTTTATGGAAAGTAATGCGTTACTTTACTAGTTACTTGAAAAAAGTAATCTGATTACGTAACTTGCGTTACTTGTAATGCTTTACCCCCAACACTGGTCTCAAGGTTTAACAATGGAGAAATATCATAGGATTTGTTCACTCTCTACCACTATCAAGGATGAAACTGGGTCTATGAAAAAACAAAAAAAGGATTTCAAAACAAGCCACACTCGTTCCCAAGAGGAAAAGTTTTTTTTTTCTTTGAGAATATTATACCTGGATCCATAATGATTTTCCTTTCAAGCCCCTTCATTTTCCAAACTAATGTGCTGATCAGACTTACATCAAACCTTGATGTTGTCCTGGGAGAGCATGTGAGCTTGCACATCTTGATATATAAAAGCTCTTTGATTTTAGCTTAAAGGAACATCAAATGCATCTATCATTTATCCCTACTTACAACAATGTGAAATCTAAAGCACTGGAACAGATTTGGACCGCTCAATCGTTTGCTTTTCATTAAATTACAGCGTTTTAAAGTTGTTTTTATTACGCTAGGATGAACCAAAAGACCTTGATTAGTTGCTTCATGTATGTTTGATTGGAGTTAAAGCTCCGCAGGAAGGTAGTTTCCCAGATTTAGCGCCCCTGATTTAGATTGTTTCAAGCCAACAGGTGATTTTCCTTCTCTTCTCTAGCATCGATCGGCGTTTGTGTGCTATCAGCCATCTCTTATGAGAGTGTAGCCTACTCTGGTTCAAGACTCGACAATGCCCCCTACCGTTTTTGACCAGCGCTGCAATCTATGTTCTGTACACCTGCTCCGGTTCGCGAAGATAACTTGAACATCATGTACAAAACCAAATTCAATCATTTCAGTTCAAACGACTGTGAAAAGAAAAGTGGAGTTAAAATGAAGTCAAATTTTTAAACAGCTAGGTTTTAACATAGAGAGAAATTCAATGTGAGCCACTTAGCGTAACTAACAAAGCCGAAGCACAGATTTGAGCTCACTGTAAAAATGCGCGAGGCTGAAAATGGAGAAGTTAAAACTGCCAAGAAATATGTGTCTTGCGGATATGACCCACAATAATAAGTTCAGCGCCCACCAACATGTCCTAAAAATCAATAAACTGTCATTAGATGTGATACTATGTAGCCTACATATCCACATTGCTGACCATATAGCCTATATTGGTCTTACCTCTTTTTATTGTAGACTACCTGCATTCTTTGTTTTGTTGTAAAGCGAGCTTAAGTTATAGAAAGGCGCTATATAAAAGAAACTTTATTGTTGCTGTTTTTACTGTAGCCTATGTGCCTATGAAAAATATAAGCTGTATTAACATGTTACCTTTCTGAATAACATCACCATTGCCCATCATTCACATAGCTATAGGCTATATGACAGGTGACTGACAGTAGCTATCCTTCAGTCACAAACATAGCGATTCAAGATTGTTAAATAGCCTAAATAAATAATACATACATAAATAAATAAATACCGGTTACGCTTTTCAAATAACAAATAAAATATCCTACGAATAGCTTTTCTGTTAAGGCTTATAAAGGTGCGCGAAAACACAACGATATAGCCTAGCTACTGTAGGTGTAGCTGAGAGATGTTAAATATTTCCCTCTATCTCTTCTGAGAATCTTATTCGCAAATCCTGTGCGAAAGTAGGTTATTCTCGATCAAAAGTAAAAATATGTCCTTCAAATGCCAAACGATGATAACGTGTTTTACTGGGAGCCTGAGCGTTTCAATTCCAAAGCAACATTCCTCGGATCCTGAACAGAACGTGAGCAGCGAGTAAATGCCGTGTCAGGGTAAAGGTATACTGTACTGAATGCTGTTTATAGCCTATAGAACATTGTCCTTTCTTTAATAACACTGAGAGAAGAGGAAAGTTTAAAAACATGACATTCCCAATAAAGGTTTTGTTATCACCATAAAGAGAGAAAATGTGCCCATAAACCAGGTTTTATTAGAAAACCAGAAGTCTTTAATAATTATAAAAAGCAACTAAAATTGCTAGGCTACTTGTTCACGCAAACCCACTAGCAAATATTTATTACAAACGTTCTTTGAAATCGGACAATTCTTTGTATTTCTAATGAAAATACAACTAATGAAATTATATATTTATTTTCTTCCCAGATAAAAAAAAAATAACAAATCTCAGAGATTCGCTAAAATGTTGATAGTCAGTAGCCTATATAATCTGACCGCAGAACTCCGGACCGCAGAAGTTCAGAAAGTACTTCACAGTATCATCCTACTCCAAGAACATTCGAGGCGGTTTCTATAAATAACTACATTTAAAGGTAAGGTAATAATATCTGAGAGAGTGTTTTTACCTTCCGATGTCCTTTCTCTGGAGTAAACTCTACCGTACGTAAAACGCAACGCATAAACCGCAATCTCCGCTTTGCGTAGGTCTCCTGTGCAGTATCCCTTTTCTGTGAATGACTTCCACCGATCGACCTGCAGCTGCTTTACTGCGCTGTGCTGGAAAGAGGAGGCTACTACAGAAGGGCAGCTGCAATTCAAACAAATGGGGGTGCACACTCTGTTACGAAGCTCCACCTCACATGTTTGGCACAGTGGTTGCATTAGCCCTTAAAGCTCTCCTTTTACATTCTAAATGCATTTCTGTAATAGAATCATTTCTATTAACCTGTTTCGAATTATCAATAAGACATTGTCTTTTGGGATTCATCAACACCCCTGTATCATGCCTGGATAGTCTGTCCCTAGAATCAGTGAGGTACCATGGCAATTAATTAACTGTTTGGATCTCACAATGTTGCCAAAAGTGGCAATGTGTCATATAACCATGTTTTGGTGTGGTGCAGTTGTACAATGGTGTACCATGATACTCAAGATGTACCATTGTACCATGTTAGGCTATATGGGAATGGCATGATACTACTATATGTGTCATGGTACTGAACAATTACCATATTCACACTGTATTTTCATTGGCTTTTACAAAGCATTTCAAAGAATTATCAAAGAATGCTCAAAAACACATGGGTTTACAATGGTACCAAATACATGGTATTATCTTGGGGCATCTTTTTTAGTAAAGAAATTGGACATACTGTAGTTAGAAGCACCGTCAGAGATTGTCACTGAAAATGACAGAAAACCCCCCAAATATTTAAAATATGGGGCAAATAATTGATCCAATTAATGTATTTGACATAAATAGACAGTGTGTTTTTATATGATTAGGAAAAATGCACCCACATTTAGGTAAAAAGTATGACAGAAAATCATTTCTAGATGGCAAATAGCCTATTGTCCCTTAAAATTGTATAAATTTAAAATTAAAATAAATTTTTGCTAAGGAGCAAACTAAAGGGCATTCCAAACAGTTTAGATACAGATTATCGAGTTTATAAAGAGTTACAGTATGAATGAAATAAGTAATATCTAATTATTCTAATAATGTGACTACTCAATGTTTATTAAATAGGTCTAACGAAGGTGAATATCATTTTTGGCCTATAGCCAGCATATATATATTTTTTAAGATTTATAGATTTAACTTAATAAAACTAATAATAATAAAAATAGATAGGCCTATATAAACATTCACATTTCAACTGTCCAACAATATTAACTTAAAGTGTATGTTTTATCAATAAATAAAAACTTAAAACTTTTGGCTTGACCCTTGAAAGTTGTTTTTCTTTTTGAAAACTGTGACAGTGCATACTGTGGATTTACAGTATGCCCGGACACTGCAAGTTGCAATATGCATTAAGCAGCTGGGGGAAGACAGTTGTGTGGTACTACTGTCACATCCAGGTGGTGGCACTACAGTGTGTCTGACGCATAAGCACGAACATTGCAAATATGATATAATAATTGGTACTGTAGGCCTATTATTAAGTGCCTTCCTTAAGTAATGAGGCATGAAAACATGAGAAAATACTTATTAATATGGTCTACATAATGAAATAGCAACACTGAGGGACTAACTTTGAACTGTTTGAAAAATAAAGTAGTCAAATATTAAATAAAAATGTATAAAACTGATACTTCTGACTGTCAGTTCTAATTAGGCTGCTGATGAATTGCTTTACTTGGCAACCGCTGACTGCAGTTATCGGTAAATGATATTACTTGGCAAAAGAATGGTTTATTCTGATTGTTATTGAGCTGTTCATCAATTTAGTTTTTTTTTTTTTTTTTTGCCTTTTGCCAAACATTTACATTTGTGTCCCTAGTTTTTCCTACA